TCATGGGGCCTGGGAGGTCAGCAGCAGCCTGGCCCCATGAAAGGAGCCCACCATGAGGCAAAGCATGATGTAGGGCTCCCAAAACCAGAGGGGACAGGGCAGTCTCCTGGAAACAGCTTTTAGAAATGCCAGAGCTGGGCACCCCAGGTTGCCCTGGTGAGGCTTGTGCTAGGGGTTAGCAGCAGGCAAGCGGGGCCTGGTTCAGGGATGTCCCACAGGGGCTTTGGTGGCACCTCGTGAGAAGAGGAGGTGAAGGGGACTTGGTGGACATGTGTGAAACAATCCTACACGAGGTGTTTCTCTGCTAAAAAGGCATCCCTGTTTATCTGCCTTCCTGCTTTTCAGCTCTCCCTTTCAATAAAGCACTGTTTCACAGGCAGTCTGACGTGTATGGGGACAGGAAAAGCTCAGCTGTGTTTGCCAGGGAACTCGAGTTTCATTAGCAACCTCTGCAAGCTCGAACCGTGACATTGCTGCTGCCAGCCAGGTCCCATCATAAGGGCTACATCCTGCTACTTCAGTTAAAAAAGAAAATAATAAAAAAAATCAATCTTAAGTCCCTGCTGTGGAAAAGAAAGTCCTGTTCTGCAATACAGCAAGCAGTCCAGGAGCCATTAAACCAACAGTGGGTGGGACAAGCAGTGACTCACGGGGTTTTTGGTGCCCATAACATGCCTGGACAGTTTCCTGCTGCTATTTTCCATTTGTTAGCTGTATGCCTTGTGTGGGGTTGGTGCTGCTGGAGATCTGGCCCAGCAGCAGGGAAAGGCTAGCAGAAACCAGGCACAATCGTATTTTCTGTGTGAATCCCATGGACTAGGTGAGGTGGGAGAAGTAGGGTTTTGGCTTGGCCACTCTCTGTGTGAGTCAGGGAAAGGAAACTTCTCCCACACAGAGTGCCTCGAGACTAAAACATCAGGACAGCATTTACACTGGACAGAGGAGAAACCCCACACGTATTTCTGTGGGGTTCCTATCTGCCCAGGCATCTTGGTTGTGCGACTGCAGCTGTGACAGATCAGAGAGCTTAGCTGGGTTGAAGATAACTTAGTAAAGGAAAAAAAATGTTGTCTTCAGTCAGGTCAGCTCCTGCACTGGCTCACCAGGCAGATCTACCAAGGGACCTGTCCGTACCCATCAGACAGATGGGAGGGGAGATCAAGTGTGGGAGAGGGATGGAAAAGTGGGGCTGGCACCAAAGGGGATGGTTAGGAAATGTGATGAGAGCTGGACAGGGGCATGGGAGGTTTGGGGAATGAGGTTGGAGTGGGGCTGAGTGTTGGGGTCATGCCACAAAAATTGTTTTCGGCACCAGTGTCTGCTGAAGGCATGTGGAGTGAGACGTGCTTCAAGACACCTCAGTATCGCTGAGCATAGCTCAAGACTAAGCTCTAACCTAAACTCTGATGAATGATGGGGTATTTTGTTTTATGGAAGGAAGTAAATCCGTCCACCATGAGGACTTGGGGCCTCCTTGGAGGTGACACAAGGACATAGCAGCTGGTGGAACCACAGCACCACAGCTGCTGGTGAAGACAAGCACCACCCTCCTGTCTGTGGAGGGCTGCTGTTGCCTTTGGAAAAGAATTTCCTGTGCTGTGGCACAGGAGGAGCATGAAGCAAGTGGCCAGGAGACACCGTGCTGCCCTGCTTCACCCCAGAGCTGGAGCGTGTCCCCCCTTCAAGGACTAAGATGGTGCCAAAAACGCAGAATAACATTGTTTGGTGATGGGGGCTGGGGTGGCGTGCTCTTGAGAAAACACAAGGACAACAAATCAACCACAGCTCGTACAAGTGGTGGCCAGCAGCACCACCGCAGGCATCAGTCCTTCTTTTAAGCCTTATGAAGCATCCTCTGGCCTTAGGAGGGGTCCCAGTGTGCAGACAAACACTGTGGTGGACTTGGTGTTGCTACAACCCAGATTTCAACCCCCACTGCGATACCACCAGTCCTTTATTTATTTATGTATTCATGTATTTGTTTATTTATTTAGGTGAAAAAAGTCCATGCTTGCTCCCTGTGCATCACATTGTAGCTGGCCCATTGGTGTCCAGTCCCCTGCCCCTGGGGACATGTGGGATGTCCCCTGTGGGTGGCATCTGAGCAGCTCCATAAAAAGCCAGCAAGGAGCCCCAGAAGCTCATCTGCCTGATGAAATCATCTCACAGCGAGAAGATCCTTGCAGGTAGAACTGAAAAGTTATTTATTATATAAAAGGAGCTCACTGTGGAGGCTGCTTGCCCTTTGGTGTCCTGCACCTTGCTGATGGGCCTTGGGACAGGAGCTGTCACCCAAAGGGATGGTGAAGCCCATGCACGTCCCCTGGGTGCCCCAAAGGGAGGTCCTTCACCCTCCTGGGTGCCAGCATGTCCTCTAAGGGCTCTGTGGGGTTTGGCAGGATCTGCAGCTTCTCCATGTGAATGCTCACCCCATACACTCCAGCTGGAGCATGAGATCAGTTTAGAACAACCCAGGGGATGGTTTTACCACTAGTCTCATTCTGTGCTAGCCTTTCATTTATCAAGGATGGACTATTATTGCCAAGCGTTCCCTGCATGGCCTGATCCTGCTCCCACTGTGGGCTACAAAACGCGCACCACTGACATGGGCATGGCAAAGCCAGGCCAGTCCTAAATGCTTGGCAGCATCCCACCCCGACAAGGCATTGGGTTGCTTTTTGAAAGGTGTCTGTGGGTGCTAAACCAGCTTCTCTGCCAGAAAAATGCAATCTCGGGGCTGAAGATGCTGCCCAGGGTCAGTGTTTGCTCTGTGCCAGCAGAATTTCTCTCCCAGCCCTCAGAAATGTGTTTGGAAACCCGGCGCAGACACAACACAGACTGAAAGGGTGCTTGCTGGGAAGCTGGCAAATGCTGCAGGAAACTCTTGTGGGTGGCATACAGATTTCTAATCCTACCTGCTTTTTTGGGCTCGGTGCTGCTTGCTCTGTGAGGGGTAGGATGGGGTCCTGCTTCAAGACTGGGGTTCTGATGTGGTGGAATAATAAAAAAACAGCATTCAGTAGTAAAAATGCATCAGTTCACAGCTGTAAGGTGCTGTTACATCACTGTCAGGCTGGAAATCTCCGAGGAGCAGCTCCGAAGCACCTGCGTGCCGATAGGAGCAAGTTTCCACTAGAGGGTTGTAGTGCTGTATGGAAAGGGATGCGCTGCTGTGGCAGGAATACTGCGTGCGCCCCGGCGCTTTGTCAGCAGATGGAAAGCATCCTGCCATAGCCCAGCTCCCCGCAGCCTCCGCAGTCCCTGATGTGCACAGCCCGCAAGCTGTGGGAGGAGGGCTGCTGCCCGAGCGACCCTTTTCCCTGCCTTTCCCAAAAACCCAGCATTCGTGTGACTCAGCAGCTCCTGTATATGTCCATATGGATGTAGTAAGTAAACACCCTTTGCCTTTGCATATGGACACATCACATAGAGCCAGCACAGGGCTCTGTCACCAGCTATACCCCCATGTCCCACACAGAAGGTCCTCGTAGGTCCACATCTATATGACCCCTATATGCATCCACATGTCTTTTATGCTACTATATTTATTTTTGTAGGTGGATGTACGCTTGCAGCTTCCTGGCGTGCTGGTGTGCAACGCGTTGGTGGCTGCAGCACCGAGAATGGGGTGGTTTTGCCTGCAGAAAGCCAAAACTGGAGCTGTGCAGCGCGGCAGGGAAAGCCCAAATAAACCGGAGCGGCCTCTCCTCATAGAAAGAGCAAAAAGGCAAATGCAACCACAAGCCTTGCCGGCAGCACAGAAAACAGAGTGTGACATTCACGGAGGATTTGCATAGCGCTCCGTTCGTGCACCACCTGTTTGTGTGTCTGGGGCTCTCATCGCTTCCATTTATAGAGAGATGGAAAATAGATTTTGCCTACATTTTCATTTCTTTTGTTATCAGAAAGGCGTTGAGGAAGTAAGTAGGTGACATTCTTGCAAAATAAATGCTTACAGAAGATGGGCCTGACTTAGTTCCCTTGGAAAATAACTTAGACCTGAAATGATTTCACCTACACACAGGTGTGTGGAAGCTAGCCATTTACGGAGAACCTTGAGAGTGCTGGGGTGGCTTTTCTGACCCCAAAGAGACATTTGGTTCATCTTTTACCCTTTATAGCTGAGAGAATCAGGAAGGTGGTGGTGCTTCTCTTTCCATGCTAGGGGGAGTTGTGAGAAGGAGCTCAAGTGGGCTGCAGAGGACAAAAAGGACACCAGGGGAGCCTCACCCGGCTGCTGACACCCACAGGGTGGACACATAGGGTTGAGAGAGCCACCTCCAATAAGCAATGGCCTCCATAACCAGGACTCAGACCTCAGGGCGAGCAGGCAGCCTGGAGAGCAAGGCCCGTGGTGCTGGTGGAGCCCCTGAGAGCATCCCCTCCTCTGAACCGAGTGACGGTGCCGGCAGTGTGAGCATTGCCACAGTGCTGGCTCCAGGCCTCGAGGAGCTGCCCCTTCTCTCCGGGGGTGCTGGTGGAAGAGCTGGCCCCGTGGAGGGGTGGTGGCCACCACCGAGGGTGGGTGGCTGCTGTTGAGGTACGGAGAGAGGAGTGTGGTGCAAAGCAGGCAGGCTGCTGTCTTCAGCACGCAGCTCTGCAAGCCCTTTTCTCACGTAGCCACGACTCCGTCCCTCCCGAAGGAGTCATAAAATGCAGCTTTACCCGTCCCGCATGTGGTAATCAGACGGGCTTAAGAGCTTAAGCGCTCTTATGGCAGCAGTGCCTACAAAAGGTTGTGCCGGGCTCTTTGCCCGCCTCGCTTTGCTTCTCTCATCAGGCTGCTGCTTGGCATGGGCATGCAGGGGCACATCGTTAGTGACGGAGGTGGCAAATTGAGCTTGCTAATTAGCGAGGGAGGTGAGAAAGACACGTCCCTCAGGGCTGCTCACGGCCACCAGCAGCTCCTGCAAGAGCCCGGGGCTGTGTCGCTTGCCCGCGTCCTGCCGAGCCTCCGGGTACTTTCCACAAAGTGAAAAGATGGCAGTGAAGGGGTTTCATCCTTTTAGGCTGCTTTAATAAGCCAAGCTAAACAAACCCACCCCTCGCAATATACCTGGTGCTCATTGACTCAAGACACAGCTCTGGGAGAAGGCCCAGGCCAAGGCGTGGATGGGATCAGTGCTGGGAGCATTACACACACGTGTATTGACCAAAGAAGACCAGACAGGGGCCAGCTGGCTGTCCTCCTGCTCTCAGTCACCAACAAATGCAAGGGAAAGGGTGCCCTGTGCATTTGTGTGGGCAGCTGGGTGCAGGAGGATGCTGAAAACCTGCATGCATGTGGGAGATGTTTGTGGCTGCACAATCCTTCAGGGGTGAGGCTGAGAGGCTCCTACTCTTCATGACAGGAGCTAAGGACAGCACGGTTACAATGGAAGCATAAAATACCCCTTACAGTCATGCAGTCAGCTTTCAAGCTTCAGTTTATAGAAAAAAACCTCTGAAGAATTAACTGGAAGTTGTTACCGTTCCTTGGGCATGCTGAGCGCTCACAATAAATCTTTTTCCTGAAGGAAAAAGCAAGGTTAAATCAAACTACGAAGCCCACTGAGCATTAGATTTACAGCAATCTGAAAGGGTTATAGGTTCATTTTTAAAACATCTGAATTATAGCTGCTTCTGGGTATCGATACGTGAAGCAGGCTGCCCCCCTCCGTCCTGCAGGGAGCTAGGGAATGAGCAGCAGCGGCGAGATGGCGCTGGTTATCGTCTTGATGTGCATTTCGAAGTCACTTCCAAAGAAGTAGATGAGATAGTAGTTGAGTATCCCAGCCACGGACATGAGGAACAGGAACAAAATGATGCGTTTCCCAAACAGGTAGCCGGGAGTGCTGGGGAGACGGGAAGGGAGGGAGGGAACTGGTTATCATGGGCCACCTACCTCAAGGAGGCCTCGGCCTCCAGCTGCTGTGGCTGAGGCCGGCTGGTGCAGCCCAGGGGTTGTGACAGAGGGGGAGAATTCCTGCTCTGTCTTGCACTTCTGCCACCCGCAAGCTCTTAGAAGAGGCCATTCAGAGGGACCTGGTCCATCTTCACAGCCATCAACGGCTGTGGAACAGTTTTATTCTTCATGTGCTTAATTTGCTTGATTAGGATGAGAGGAAGATATTGTGCAAATACTAGCTGGGAGAGCTGGGGCTGCTCAGCCTGGAGAAGAGGATGCTCAGGGGGATCCCATCCATGTCCCTAAATCCCTGACGGGAGGGTGCAGAGAGTCTGGAGCCAGGCTCTGCTCAGTGACCCCCAGAGAGGCTGTGGGGTCTCCTCCTTGGGGAGCTCCAAAAGCCGCCTGGATGTGGGCCTGGGCAGCCTGCTCTGGGTGTCCCTGCTTGGGCAGGGGGGAACCAGGGGCCTCCAGGGGCCCTGACAGCCTCAGCCACCCTGTGGCTCTGTGATTCTGAGCAGGAGCTGCTGAAGCAGCCTGGGTTTTGTGAAGGGCTCTGCACAGTCTTACCTCTGCGTTCTTTCCCCTAGGTAGCCCACGAAGTACTTCTGCCTCACAAACAAGTACATCAGGCCAGCAAAAGCAGCAGGAGCTGCATAAAGCACAGAAGAACACATTACCAACACCAGCTTGGGTCCCTCTGCGTGTACCATCCACACTCCCCCTTCCCTGAGGACTTTCTGGGTGTAATTCTGCCCTCAGCCATGCAAAAGGTGCACCTGGTCCCACCAGAAACCCAGGAATGAATGTAACAGCTTTCCCCACACCTCTTTCCCTGGCCATGAAGCTCCTCTGTTCCAGAAAGAACAGCCCCCTCCAGGGCAGCTCTGGTGATTTAATCAAATGAGGCAATTCCAGCTCTGAGGGTGAATAGGGTGGCATGCCCAGCAGCCAGCACCAAACCCTCCACCCTGAGCAGAGAGTAACGACCCTCTAGGAATGGTCCGAAGCACCAAAATGCTCTCCATCCCTTGCTGGAAGTCATGCCAGGGAGAAGGGGGAATAAAAACAAGTGTTACCTTGGCTGCAGAGGAGCCCAGCGCACCAAAGCACGGCGAGGAACGTAGGGTAGGCATGCCCACAGTTTTGGCTAGGAAGGAATTTGTGAGCGAGAAAAATCAGAACACGGGGAAAACAGAAAGAAAATCATTTTGGTTCATCCATGAGCGACGGTGAGGTGGATTTGGGCAGTGTGAGCTCCATGATGGCCACACGCAGGCACAGGGATGCTGCAGGCAGCTCCTCGCGTGCCGGTGCCCCAGCACCATCACCACCTCGCCCACGGATTTGCTTACCTGCCACCTCCTCCTGCAGAGAATGGACACCTTTGTTCTGCCTGCTCGGGGAAACAAACCGCCCCGCGAATGTGCCTGGCAGCTGGGAAATGCGTTTGCCTCCTCTAGCATGCGTAACAGACAATGTGTGCTTTGTCAGCTCGGGAAATCCTCGTGCTTAAGTCGTATTAATCAAGTTAAGGGCACTGAGAGCCGAGTGAAAACAACAAGAGGAGCGCTGCATGGCAGAAAGGAGCTCTGACAAAGTTAATGTGTCTCCTTGCATGTGCACAGGAGTTATTTCCAACTCCCTCCGTCAGCTGGGAACGCTCTTCCAGAGGGAGACATTCTCCTCTTGCAGAGGTCACACAGCTGTGAAGGGCAGCGTTTTGATGTCCCGTGCCTTTTCAAGCACCATGCCACCACTTCACGGGTAATAAAAAATACTTTATGTTCTTTTCTCCTCTGCTTTGGAATTAATTTCCCCCCTCCTGCTCCCTCTGAAGGGATGTCAAAGACAAGAAGCACTGAGTGCCGCGGGGAAGTGGAGAGCGGAGAGGAGCAGGGCTTTGTTAGGAGCTCCGCCACCCCCCTGCTCCTTGAGTCACCATCTCTTCCCTTTTGAGCTTTTGGGGACACCGATGTGCTTGTGGCACCCGTCCAGCATTAGGTGCTTCCTGGGGGTTCCCAAAGGACAGGACACCCTACACGCCGGGGCTGCAAGTCCTGCGTTCACCAGCAAACACAACCAAAAGCTGCGGGTCTGAGCACTGCCACAAGGCACGTGGCAATTTGCAGAGCAAAGCCTTAAGCTGAGGGCATTGGGAACCCACCTTTGGACCTCAAAAGAGTTTGGATTAAGCCCTAAGGAAGAGGGAGATGAGCTTGCTACTCACTTGGCAGTGTAGACGCGGTCAAAAGCAGAGGACCCTGGCCGCTGGATCCCTTTGCCGTTGCAGTGTTTACTCTCATGCTCCACTTTGCTGGCAAAAAAAGCTGTTAAGAAAAAAAAAAAGAAGAAAAAAAAAAACACCACAAAGCACACAAGCTGTTTGATCTGAGATGTGATTTGGAGATAGTTCTGCAGCTGGTCCCTGTGGGCTCGGTTCTGCTGTCGTGAGCATCCCCATGTGTGCCTGGACAGCAGGAGATGCGCGGCGGTGCAGGATGTGGCTGGCACACTCACTTCACCATGGTGAAACATCACGTTCTGTGCAAGGGTTTCATGTGCTGTCACCTCAGGGGTCCCCATGCTCTCACTGTGAGCAGCAGCCCTGAGCCCTGTTCAATTCCTTTACCTGCAGAGGTGCGACTCAGGCATTTGTGCCCCCAGGGGGAAAAACTTCCCAGGCAGAGCCACCAAACTCCATCCTCACTCTCTAAGGGAGCAGGGAGAAAAGAGATTCCCTTCCCTTTCAGTGGTACCCACTTGCCAAAACAAGGCCATCCTACAGGACCTGTTCATTTCCCTGATGGGCTCATTGAAAACCTTGTCTGGGTGACAGATCTCTGCGCATCCATGTCGCGTTTCCCACTTTTAAGCAATGGTGTGGTGTCAGGATGTTAGCTGCTGCAACAACGCGGCGCCTCAAGATAACGTCTGGTGCGCTTGACAAACCTGCTTTATCTACCGCCAGGAAAACGGAGACCATCCATCACGGGTCTAAACACAGCAGGCAGAGCTGTGGCAGGCTACAAGCTGCAAGCGTTGTGTTATCACGCGCCCCATCTCAGTGCACCCAAGGCACCCCGTGGTTTAGAATATTAGCCGAAGATGCGTATAAAAGAGAAGAAGCAGAAAAAAATGAATAAATAAATATCGCAACAATAGGAGGATGATTTGATAAGCTGTAGGACTTCTTCCCTGGAATCTAACGAGCTACTTCTTTTTCCCCCTCACGGATGCTGGGGGTGTGTCTTTTGTACTGATACTGCCTTCAGTAAAAGCTTCTGAGATATTTGCTTTCCAATATTGAGTGATTCCTTGAGTATGCACAGCCTTCCTCCAGAAAAACCCCCAGGGCTTTAAGCTAGCATTCACTAAAAGCCACCAGCACGGTGTCCTGGAGGACCTGGCCCTGGAGAGCCCAGAGCTGACCCCATCAAGCAGCACAGCCACCAAGAGCTCTTGGTGTCCCCCTCCACCCGCTGACCCAATCTTTGGGTTATTCACCTTCTTATGGGGTCTAGGAGGACCTGGTCAAAGACAAATGACATTTTTTTGTTGTCCAGTGCAGAGCTCCTGTGATGGGAAGCCACTGCCAGCCTCCAGCATCAGGGCTGCACAAGCCTGGGGGTCCTGGGTCTCCTGGGCTGTGGAAATCCAGGCATCTCTCCTGGAAGCTCTCAACATCTCTGACGTGATGTGCAGGTCCCACCCAGACGAAGCCCTTGCCATGGCTTTGGGCTGGCAGCACCAAACCCAAAACACCGAACAGCAGCATCGTGCTCCTGTTAGGCTGGGGAAATGGGAGACTCTGCAGTGTGAAGCAGCTTGTAGCACTGTAGTTGTATTTCCTGCTCTTCTCTGGCTGCCAAGGTGAGAAGGAGGTTTCTCACAAGCCAAGACCAGTGAGGAGAGCAGGAAGGTGTGAGGAGAGAGGAGGCCGAAGGGTTTAATTTGGCTCCTCTGCACAATGCAGGGCTGCAAAAACCGGCGAGCGTACAAGGCTGCCCCTTCCTTCCACTTCACATCGCTTCCTCTGCCCTGATGTGCTGGGCAGCGAGCGCTGCTCTGCCCTCAGAGCTGCTGGATTGCAACATCGCAGTGATGCAAGAACAAAACCAAAGCTACAGGCATGACTCAGAGACCTCCGGCCACCCGAGTCATTCTGCAGGATGCGGAGACTCCTGACATGAGCAAGGTGATGGCAAAAAATGAGGGTGAGGAGCAGCACCGCAGCCTGCACCCGGATTTGGAGCAGCAGCGTTCACCAGGTCGGCCTTTCTTTCTGCTGTGCTGAACTGGAACCACAGCAAGAGTTTAGCACAACTGCAAGCCCTTGACAAGCATTTCTGCTGCCCTAATGGTGAGTGCAGCAGGAGGCAGGAGGTGCTCCAGGCACACAGCAGCAGTTCCCCTGCGGCCTGTGGAGAGGCCCCTGGTGGAGCAGGCTGTCCCCCTGCAGCCCATGGGTCCCCCATGGAGCAGATCTCCACGCTGCAGCCCCCCCATGGGTGGAGGAGCCCCCGGTGGAGCAGGTGGATGTGGCCTGGAGGAGGCTGCGGCCCATGGAGAGCCCCCGCAGGAGCAGGCCCCGGGCCAGAGCTGCAGCCCGTGGAGAGGAGCCCACGCAGGAGCAGGGGGGCTGGAGACAACGTGCTATGGGCTGAGCACAGCCTGCTAGTCCGCTCCCAACAGGCACTAAATTACATTGCTCTCCCTTAGGCTGAGTCTGTTTTGCCCATGACGGGAGCTGGTGAGCAATCTCCCTGCCCTTACCCACCCCCGAGCTGTTTCATTGCATTTTCTCCCCCTGTCCCTTTGAGGAGGGGAGTGAGAGAGCGGCTGGGTGGGTGTTAAGATAAGGCAAAGCCAGCACGGAGAGGGAGAAGGCAGAGCAGCATTTAAGGTCAGGCATCCGGTCAGACAAACACATCTGGAACCTCTTTCTATCTGTGGTGTGTGCTGTGACACCCTGTTGTGCCACCCCTGACATTGCACACCGGGCATTTACCAGAAAAGAGGATTGGGTTGAATGATGCAGCATTCAGTGCCTACGTCAAAACTTCACCAGTCCTCGCTCTTTTTCCGCCCGGTGGCAGCCAGGCTCACGCTGAGCTCCCACCACTTCCCCTCCCTGCAGCACAGCCCATTTCCTAGGTCCGATTGTGAAGTTTGCCCGCGGTGAAAATCTCCTGTTTGCACCACGAAGCCTCGGCAGAAGGTTTCTAGCATTTGCATCAGATCCCCACCGTGCTTCTGGTTCGCATTGAACTCGGACAATCTCAGTGCACCCGGGGCAAAACCCACTCCCTTATCTGGCTGCTCAGCAGCATTTTCTGCTCAAATGATTAAGTATTTGTAAAGAATGATCAGGATAAGAAGACATCTGAAGAGCAGAGAAGCTTGCAGCTTGATTAAAAAGACGTGAAGAATAGTTATGAGTATAAGGGGTCTGAATAAGATCTAAAAAAGGAAACTTCCCCATTCTAGGAAACGCACAGTCTTCTAGGGAGGGACTGCGGATAGTTGAAATTAGCTGAGCTGCAGCACCAGGACAGCTGAGTGCCCCCAAAATCATCCAAGCAGGCTTCTCGGAGGGGTCGGTGCAGTTTTGCTGCCTTCACCCAGCTCCGTGCGAAGCTCTGAGCCCTGCAGCCCACCAGGCTCCTGCCAAAGAGCAGCACTGGGGCTTTCTCCAGAGAAAGAGATCCCAGTCATCAAAACGAAGCTCATGTTGTCCCCGGCAGCCCCAGCGTGGCATCCCTTTCGTTAGCTGACATGCAGATGAGCAACATGCAGAGCAGGGCTATTGAAATGATGATACGCAAGACGATCCCTGAAAAGGGAAGAAAACCATCCCTAAAGCCAAAGCGGTGCCTGCGCCCGCACGCACTTACAGCACGAGGTTATTTGCCCAGGGACCAGCTCAGCACACATCACACTGTTTTTTTTTTTTTTTCTCAGCCCTTCCACCAATGCTGATTTCTGGCTCACCGTTCTGGACGACGCTGATCAGGGTGACGATGGCGAGCAGGACCACGCTTCCCAGGGTCTCCTGGTCCATTTTGCGTGCCAGCTGTCGGGGTGGACGCTGCAGCCGTGGTGGCAGCTCAGCCCTGCGAGCACAGAAGGAGGAAGTGATGGTCTCTCTTATCTTGACTCGTGAAACACTTCCTATGGCCTCACAGGAGAGCGGTAGCACCCCGCACTCGGATGCCTGCCAGCACAGCGCAGCCACAGCCCACAAGCTCCGTCATCACACCCTTTTTCATCCTCATCCCTCGCTGTTTTATAGATGAAGCGTGGAGAAACAAGTCTGCGAGTGCCTGACCACTGCCCAGCTGGGAGGAGAAAGGATGACAACCAGTCTGGGTAACCCTGCTGCTCCCAGCCACGGGACCCCCCTGGTCACAGCCCCACCAGTGATGAGACCCTCAGGGCACAAGCAGGAGCTCCCCGTGTTGGAACAGGTAGGTTGAGCAAGGAGAACACAAATCCTGTGAGCATCATGGGTGGGTGCAAAATGTATGGCATTACCAGGGATGGATCCTGCATCCTTCCCCCTGGGAGATGGTGACAGCTGCCAGCATTCAGCTTTACTGGCTCAGCCTTT